CCCCAAAACCCCAAAACCCCTACTATCAATATACACTAGGTTATCAAATAAATAGAAATTTTATTAAATTAGGGAATTATCTGGCTAAATATAAAATAGATTAGAGCTTCATAAATTCCACTATTTTCATACTAAATTTCCATCAATATTTTGATTATCATCTTCAAATTCATCTTCATCAGAGTCTACTTTATCAACTTCATAGAATATTTCATTATCAACAAGTAATCTTGTTCCTTGATCGCCTTGTTGAATTTCAATTGCTGAGACAGAACAATATTGGAAGCGATAATTATTTCCACCATTTTAAATGCCAAATTCTTAGACAAGCAGCCTATGACTTACAATTATATGCATCACTCTCTAATCAGAAGATTTCTTGTAAATATCAATTAAGTCTTATGTCAAATATTTGCATCTGTCTGAAGCTTCATCCATTGTTTCTGGAAATTTCAAATCTTTAATTGCAGATACTTTGTCATTCTAATAGTTTTCTGGAATAAGAACTCTAAGTCCACCAACTTCTTTCGATAGGTCATCTTTAGTTTTTAAATCAATATATAGAAGACCTAATGGATTTTCAATATATGATGGAACCCATTCTCTAAATCCAAAGTTAACCTTAATTTCCTTAATATCAATCTATTAAGCAATACAAGAGGCTGTTTGAAGACATCTTAAGAATGGTGATGATTCTATTATAACTTGATCAAATGGTCTATTTTCCTGTCTCTCATATTCAATTGTTTTCCTCAAGTATTGACCAGTCTAATTTGCTTAATTCATACCTTCCTCAGTAAGATGAGTATCATTCTCAAATTCTATTTTCCTGCTAGGATTGATGACTTAATCAGCTCTTTCTCCATGTCTTATTAGATATATCTAGGATCCACCTTTATTTTCCATCTCACTTGATTTTTGTTTTTTATAAATGTAATAATTTGTCAGAATATATCTTCACTTTATATAATTACTGATGATTCTGAATGTTTACATTAAGGGGTTTTGGGGTTTTGGGGTTTTGGGG